ACTTCAGGAATGCATATATTTTTATATATATGATTACACTGTTTTTATTGAGATAAACGTGATTTTGCATTCCTTGATAAGGAGCAAAGTGTTAGAACTCACATTGTACTAAGTTGGGAGATTCAGGTTTAATGATACAAAGAGTAGAAATTAAATCTGCGCATGTGTTGGGGCAAAAGAGCTGCTCATGTCTTGGGAACAAACATTATGGACACCTGCACCCCAGTGGTGGCAGCTCAAGCAATCAGTACCTAACTGGCAAGTTATCTTGTGTGGCTCACACAGGCAGTCTGTTAGATCTTTTTACTGATGATCGTGTAGGTTCAGCTCATACTGTGGCATTGTTAACAACTCTCAATTTGCCCCTTCTCCTGAATTATGTTCTGCAGGTGGAAACCATCTCATACTGTGGCATTGTTAACAACTCTTTCAATTTGCCCCTTCTCCTGAATTGTGTTCTGCAGGTGGAAACCATTCATCCCACATCTCAGGAGAAAAAAAAAAAAGTCATAAATAGTTTTAAGGATCTACACTACTTGCACTTAGCAATCAAATTGCATTGTTTTATATGATTTTTATGAATAAATACATACAGTCAATTATACTTATGAAATAAAATAAAGACATAAAGCTTGATTCATTAAATGACAAATGATAGTTATTTTAATTAAGTGATTTTGTTGTTGTTGTTGTTCTGTAGTACTATACTTCCCACAACAGCAAAGCATCACCATCATATGATTCCAGAACTCAAAAATCCAGGATTAATGTCATGATTCATTTCTTAATTATTGAATAAATCAAAGAGCATGAATAAAAAATGTCTTCTGGCATTGCCTTTTGTACTTAATAGTGAGCCTTTGCAGGTCTAGTTCAAAGCTAATTTGACAAGCTGGCTGAATTAAGAAGTCTTTTCAGGTTTTTTCTTGTAAGCTTTCAAGCGATCAAGAAACTCTTTGGCAACACCTTCCTTTCCGGTACATTCACACCCTGAGTTGCTGAAGGAAGAGCTTTATCGAGAGACTAAGCTGTGAACCCCATCTAAGATTCCCTTTTGCCGGTGGTACAAAGCTCTTGCGCTACTGCAGGCAGTAGGGATTGAGCTGTTGAGTGTGAAGATGTTGGCCATGCTGAAGGATTCATCCCAGGCTGCTGCTTGGAAAATATGCAGGTTTTCATTGCCAAAATGCAACTTTCTGAACCATGTTGAATAATAATTTAAGATTTGTCTGAGGCAAGGGATTCCCTCTCCTGCCACCCCAAAACCCAGAATTTAGTAACAGCAGCCGTTGTTGTACATGAAACAGAGACAACTCAGTTTCTGGGTTCTTCAAGATGTCCCACAGAAGTTGTTAGCTGACTCGGACACTGGGAGGTGCAGCTTTGCACCTACCTCTCCTCAGCTGACCAGGTTTGGTATTATGAAACTGTTTGTGTTTGAAGTGTGAAGTCAAAGGCAAAATACACCTCAAGAGAGGGTGTTCTTTCCCCTCTTTCATATCCGCTGTGACAGTAAGACAAGAGAAGCGAGGTGCTGAGGAGAAGGTTGTGTGTTTCAGCAGAGCAGCTCTTGTCGCTGGAAGAAACCAGGCCAGCTCTTGGCACTGGAGCCCTTTTTTCGGGTCTTTAATCCATCAGTGAGGTAACACAGGAGATGAAGAACCAAAAAAGATCTTTGAAAATGCTGTGGATATCATCTCTCCCAACTACAGCTCTCCTTTTTCTACTTCTCCTGTGCTTCCCAGGCCTGAGCGGTATGTACGGAACTATTCTCTTTCACAGGTTTCTTTTTCTTTATTTTATTTTTTTTTTGGTTTCTGTCTCAGTTCATTGTCTCAAACAGGTTCCACTGCTAAAATAAAGACAGACAGAGCTGTGAAAAGCACACTCGGAAACTCTAGATTGCAATTTTTAGAAAGAAAATGTGAACATTTTCTGTGCTCAGAATGCTTCTCAGCATTTACCTGCTCAGAAATGATTCCCTGTAGAAATAGTAAGTGTTGTTTTCCTAGCAATTCTACACAAATCATATTTGTATTGTTAAGGCTGACATGGGGAACCCACTACTGGAAAAAAATGAATGTTGGTATTTACAAGGGACATGATCATTGAAGGCGTAATAAAGCCTTGCTATAAATATCTGTATGTTATAGCTATTGATAGAGGACACGCTGGAGACTTGTTTGGGGAAAGCAGTGTGATTCTCTGGGGAGAACAGTTGGAGGAAAAATATACCTCCAAACAGTCAGTTACCCCTATTTTTTCCCTGTGGACTTCAAATCTCTGTTTCCTGAGGAAGACAATGACTTGAAATTTCAACAAACACTTTCTGCAAATCAAAACACCTAAGAAGCAGATGCTGGAAAACCACTGGCAATATTTATTACTAATATTTTTTCCAGCCTTTAGTTAGCAGTTGTGCAGGAATCATTACTGATTTCTGCAAATACAACCTCACTCTTGAGCACTTACTCTGATGTTTTGGAGGACGGAGGTTGGGGAGAAACAAGCAGCAGAGCAGCTGTTTGCAGCCCGCTTGCCGCTACCTAATCGGGTTCTCCCTTGGATCAGCCAAGTGTGGGTCAGCCTTGGAATTGGAGGCTATTGGGGCTGAATTCCCTGGATTTTCTGTTTGCTTCTTAAGGCTGAGCGTGCCATGCTTCCCCAGCCATCTCCTTCTCCTTGTTCCTCTGCTCCTTCGGGAGGCAATTGCTGACTGCTCTGTGGTCACTTAAGATCCTTCTCTAGTGATACGGGGGGAATATCCTCACAGCTGGTCAAGCTGACCTGATCTGCTCTCTGTCAGTTCCCATGGCTGGTATTTCTGCATCTGACCTCTGCGTTTGTTCCCCTGTTAGAATAATCTAGTAAGTAAGGATATGGGGATCATCAATCCGCTTTGGGAACACTGAATTATTCAACCTTTTCCATACTGTTTGCTCATTATAAGTTTTTTATACCTTCGTGTTTTAATATGAGCTGAATGTTTACACCTTCTGCAACTCGCTTCCTAACAGACTATATTTTCCAGTTTCTTGCTAAAGAAACCTGTGGGTTTTTTTCCCCAAATCTGTAATCTTCTTCCTTTCTCTGTCACTTGTCATCACTTTGAACTGTAGATTGAGACCCTCATGTAGTTCTCATTATTGGACTCAGTTCAATAAGCATTTTATTTTGAAAGCTTATAGGATGATACTGTGAAAATACAGAACAGACTAAGTGTTTTACCTGACTGCTAGAAACATTTTTTTTTTTTTGCATGGTCTTTCTAAGCTCTGGGGAGATGTTAGGTTGCCCAGGTCAGTGCAAATGACAGCAAAAACACCCATATCACTCAGGATAGCCAGGAAACTAAATATACAGGATAGCAAGACTAAGTTCCAGGCTTACAGGGCTGTTCTCCTGACTGAGAAGTACTTGTTTTTGCAAGCTACTTTGATATTTATAGATCAAGAAAAACTGTGATACTCAATACGATTCCATTTGCATTTTTTTATTTTTAGGTGAAGAAAATGAACTTCTTGAACATTCACCAGACTTTGTCAGTGCTTGGGAAGGAGATTCTATCAGCATAACTTGCTCTATGAAAAACTCAGAAAGTGAACAGGGGACCTATTTGAGGACTAGTATACAGAAAACCAATGTGGTGTATCTTTCCAGGCAGAATACGTCATTTGTCCTTCCTGCTTTAGCCGATCGCATCTACTTTTCAAATGAAGGAAAAAAATTGAGAGTAACTTTTAAAAAACTACTAGAAAATGATTCCAATATCTACCTTTGCACCAATATAATTAAAGAAAGCAAACATGTAATGCTGGACGGGAAGAGAACCATGGTAGTGGTGAGAGGTATTGAACTTCCACTTTTTTTATCCTGAATGAGTAAACACAGGTATATATTTTAATGCAAAAATGGCTAAAACTATGGTAGGAGAGAGAGTCTTACAGAACTTTGCATGTGTCTGTTCTGATGATCTATTAATTTGAAAGAAAGTGTGGACTTATTCCCTGAGTAGATGAAGAAAGCAATTTAAGTGGAAGTGTACCAAGAAAACCCCAAGAATTCATGACTGATATGATTCTAGCAACAGATTTCACAAGTCATAGATTTTGATAACAGTGTGCAAACTGTGAGAACCTGCAGATACATATTTTCACAACAATCAGGCAAAAATTTATGAGTAACAACCAAAGCAATAAGCCTTTTTTAGTGGCAAGTTTTGTAAATCTCTCTTGTTTTTACTATTCCATCTTGAATTGATGGTACTTGGGAAGCTAAGTGCCTAGGCAGTATGTGTGAATTAGGCATCAGTGGATGCCAGTGATTTAATTTGATTGTTTTAGCAGTTTAGTGTTTAGTTTAGTATTTTTCTTTTTTCCTTTTAAACAAACACTTGAAGAATGGGCCAATGCAAAAAGAATTCTCTAAGGGGAAGAATTTTTCTGTATTTTTTTTTCTTTCTTTTTCTTTTCATTCTCTTTCTTAAATGACTACATTTTCTTCCTTTCCTGTCCAAAAGACATGAACAAACTAATTCACTGCTGGATTATGGTCTTCTACACTTAGGAAGGCTGTAATCATTTCCTCCCTTTGCTTCTCTTTTTCAAACTTTTTGACTCTGTTTTCTCCAACTCTTATCATCCTTCTTGCCTTTCTGTGAATTTGTTCCAGTCTGCCTATATCTTCTGAAAATGTGTTAACCTCCTTTATTCTATTTGGACATGTGATTTCTTTCTTTGAAGCTAGGATTTCACAGACATTTTTACTATTTTTCATCTTGTTGATTTCAGAATGTTTCTCCATATTATTTTTTAAATTATCATCTATTTATATTTGATTCTGATCCTCTTATATGAAATGCTTGCAAACTTCCTAGAATTGTTTTGTACAAGGGTGCTAAATCCTGTCCTTATTTCCTCATCCATGTGTTAGTGACAATGTCAAATAGAACAGGGCATGCCCTCAGAGAAACCTAGTAAAATGTCCTGCTACCTGGTTGGATGCAGCCTACAGCTTTGTCCCTGCTCTTCCTTCAGTTCCTCCTGCTTTGGCCCTGCTACACTGCGATGCTCTGGTTGCATCTTGTATCCCCTCCAGTAATGAACTACCAACTCATGAGGTGAAAGCCCCTGATCCACCACATATTTTCCTGTTTTGCTCATGATAATATGTAATGCAGCCATTACAGGTCTGTGAAAATGATTTGTATTCTGTATCCTTTTCTAGTCATCTGTTCAGTGTCCCAGGAAAAGCAGCAAAATCACTTGGATATGACACATTGTTGCTATACCCATTTTGTCTATTCTTTAACCACAGTTAATCATCTAAGTGTTTAGTCATTCTGAACCCTTTGCAAAAGTTTACATTTGTCTGAATGCCCCGAACTTCCCTTGTTCTGCTTAGTGGAGTTGCATGTACTTCTCCAGGCTTCTCTGCCCTCCTCCTCTGCTTTGGAAAGTAATTGTTGATGTCCCTTGGGTTGCTTCAGCCTCTTTAAGTACGCTCAGAAAAATATCCTCAGACTTATATTGACCCACTATATCTGAATTTCAGTAGACTGATATTTTGGAACTGATATATGCATTCCCTTGTTAAAATGCACTGTTATGTATCTGGTAATCATAAATCTGTCTTGATTTTAGCTAAAGATAATGGAGTTGTTGAACAGTCACCGCTCTCACTCAGTGTTCAGCAAGGCGAGTCTATCAACATTAACTGTTCACTGAAAAGCTCACATGAAGAAGAAGGGATCTTCTTGCTCAAGACTCACATGAAACCTGAAAGCGTGTTGTATGTTTCAAGGCAGAATGCTTCAACAATCTCTACCACCTTTGCAAATCGCTTAGAGTATTCAAAGCAAGAGAAGACATTAGTGATAATTCTGCACAACCTGCAAAAAAATGACAGTGACACATACCTGTGTGTAGGAGTGCTGAAAAATACCACTGCCCTCTCACTGAATGGAAGCGGCACCATGGTGCTCGTTAAAGGTACCGTTCTTTACTTGTATAATCAAAGATAACTGTAGGCCTGCTATAAATGAAAAGGTGGACAGAAAGCTTGCAAAACTTTAGTCTGATCAGGTAGAGCACTAATCCATGGCTAGTCTTCTTCCAATACTTGAAAAAGTCTAGGGAGAGTGCCCAGGCTCCTCTGTGCTCTGTTGTATTAAGACACATAATGAGACCATACATTTCTATATTCCTTGTACTACTGGAGGAGAAAAATAAAAACGTTTTGTCCTCTACCATCTTAAAAAAAAATGTGAACAACAAACACCATAGTGTGTCTGCGACTCATCTGCTTCAGGAAGTGAATCAGTATTTTTGGCATCAGTTCTGTGACCATAATGTGACATAAATGTCTTCTAGAAACCATGAACAGTAACAAAACTTTGTCTATGTTTGGAAACCTCACATTAGGGAGCATCCTCAGGTATTTATTTGAAGTACCAGAGATTGGAGCAGAGATGTTCTCACATACATCTCACTAGTACTAAGCGTACTAGTATGGTTTCCAGAGACAGAGGGTTTTTGTTAATATTGTTTTTCCTCCCTTCAAGATAGTGTTGTAACCATCTGCTAAGACAAGGACAAAAGCAGCAATCCCACTGCTGCAGCATAACCTTGTGCTGCAGGCTTTCATGGCATCTTTGAGTAATTAAACCAATGCCTGCGTAACACCTAAGAGCTGCAAAACATTTATTTGTAGTCTACAAAAAAGATCATGGTCTCATTCACCAGATATTATGCTATTCAGATATAGATTAAGTGAGGTTTTAAAGAATTCTAACCTTTTTCATTAGCACTGTTCTGTACAATGCATACACCTCAGGCCACAACAGGCTGCTACTTCTGCATGCACTGCTTGGAGCCTTTCAAACCCAGCTGTCATATAATTCCTACATATTCCTATCAGAGCACTCAGTATTGCTATAGTACTGCCATAAAACATTTTATATTTCCATCATGAGTATGTGGTCCTATCCCTTATCAGGTATTACCCGCTCTGTGCAGTGTCCCACACTGATCACACCACTCACACTCACCTCCTGCCTCCCAAAGGGCAGTGAGAATATTGATGGGATGACAAATGTGGATGTGTAGCATGCTGCTGGGATCTGACTGCCACTGCAGAAATTTTTTTTTCATACTAAAAATATAATTCTACCTTTCTTCATATTTATAATAATAATCATATAATTCCACGTGCAGAAGGGGAGCAGACAGGGTGCAGCCACAGTTCCTGGATCTTCTGTGGTCTTACCACTGTGGTGGTGATGCTGTTTTCTGCGCTGATATGCTTTGTCCTCTGCCGTGTTGATGTAAGTATGCAGCCTTCATGCCAAAGCAAACAGAACCTCTATCGAATAAATAGGAGCATCTTCAATCATAGCCAAAAGGTATTGTTTGTAAACAGTGATCAATTTGAGAAAACACGTGAAAAATCTAAGGAATCATGACTTTGAATGGCTTCCCCTTAGCCGTGTGCATCATATAAAAGGACACAGTTGTTACCTCCAAGAATTTATGCTTCTGTAACTTTTACTAAGTGATGACATAATATTTGTCTTTCAAATCTCAAGTAAACTTTGCAGCCAACAGCACACCCCGTTACTCTTCCTTTAGGTACTTCCCTAAAGAGGCAATTTGCCAATCAGTTAAGATTCATTTTTTCAATCAGGATAGAGCTATTTATAGCCATCTTGTAATAGAGGAGAGAGAATGCTTTGCAGGAAATTCAGAAACCACACAAACTCTTGAAACAACTTTCTGTCTGATGGTAGCACTAGGAGTACTAGAGAAAAAGGTGACCCAGAGTTTTTTTTCCTTTTCTTTATAGCTTGCATCCATTTTCCTCAGAAAGTGCCCGGAATTATTTGTCTCTGATACATCCTAATTTTCTATAAAAATCACCCTGATTCACAACATAGTATATGATTGTTCAGGCCCCTATGCTACCCCTACACTGTGGTTTCAGTACTGCTAAAAAGCAATGGTATAACATTATTCAGCAAAGCCAAAGATCCTTGTGGGACTTGGTCCCTTACATTTAGCAGAAACAGACTATAGTTTAAGGTTCAACATTATTTATGATGGGGCTACAAGTATTTCCCCCCCTTGAAGGAACTTCTATTGTTCCTTGAAGGAACATATAATTGACAGGTACAAGCTTAGTGATCAAGTCATCAATTTCCACCCAGATCTCTAAGACTTCATTGGGAATTTTAAAAGTTCATTTCTACCTCCTGCATTTTGAATCCTAAAGCACAAATCAGCTTCTTGGTAAGCGTGTTTTCAAGCTCAGTTGTGAATTGCTGCTTGCTTTGTTTTGCAGGTAAAGAAGTATTTCCAGAAAAGAAAACCAAATGTGGTATATGAAGATATGTCATATAGTTCTAGACGAAACACCTTGGTCAGAGCTAACACTTACAGCAGTAGCAATTAAACTCCTCCTAGCTGGAACCATACATGGATTAACAGTTCCTATCCAGGTCTCTGAGAGCTGTCTTAGCAACCTGACACAGCAGTTGAATTGAAAATGCCTCATCTACCTTTGTTTGTAAAAAGAAGTATCTGTTTCACTGCTAAAGCTCTGTTTCCTCTTATTTTGGTCATTTGTGAAATACAGTTTGTTTCTTTTTTTATGTACAGGAAATGTAGCGAAAGCTGGTACCTTGCAGGTGTGTTTTGAATGAAGTGCAGAACACAGGAAATTTGGCTAGATGCAGTATATGAACTTGTTTCTCTAATGAAGAACCTTTTCAGGAAAGGGGGGATTGATAGAGAGGCCTGGTGAAGAGTTTTGGGAAGTGTTCAAGAAGACCATGCCAGGCCTGTTTAATAAGACACAGTGGATCTCCATGTGAATTGATTACTGTTCTTTCAAGAATCCATATGAATCTGCCAAAGGGGTCAGATAGTTAAAGCTATTCCAGTATTAAAGCAAAGACACCCCTTCAGAAGAGAATTTAGACAGAGTTCTAGTTCCTGATTAATATTAATTTGCGCTAGTTCACTATATACCAATGAAGTACTAGATATACGAGTATTTAATTATTTGTAGTTTGTAAGGATGCCACAAAAATGTTTAACATGACTGCTCTTGCCAGAGAACTTGGCGTGGTGGTTAGAAGTCTTGACCTGGTTGATCTGCAAAGAGATTTGATGTGGGGGCTTGAGACAAGATGGTTTTGTGGAAAAGCAGAAATATTTGTGACATACTGGTGATGTATCAAATTCAAGATGTCTTAAAGCTACACAGCAAAATGCATTTCTTCAGTTCAGTAACTCTCTCTGGGATCTGGCCTGAATTCTACCCTGGGCAGGGATGACACTGATCCACAATCACTCTTAACAAAGGAATTTATCAAAAACTCACATAAACTAACAAAAACTACTTTTTATTTGGTAATGGCTTAGAACAGTTTGCTAGAAAGCATTTCACTCTCTTCTAACTAAAGGAAAGGCTACAGCTTCCTCCAGGAGTAGATGGTTTTCCGGAGATAGGTCAACTACGGGAAGACAACAATTTACAATCTGGTAGTCCCAGAGAAGTCTAAAATTGGCTTGTTAAGAGGCTTGAGTACAGGACCGACTGTTTTTTTTTTTTTGTTTGTTTTGTTTTGTGGGGCAGGGTTAAGTTTTTAGAGAGAGCAGGGCTGGTTTGTAGCTCGTGAGAGTGCACAGCTGGACTTCATCCAGCGCACAGGAGACTCACGCTTTTGGAGGTGTGTGCACCCAGCTCTGCCGAGGTCTTGTGATTCAAATCTTCTTGCAAATATTCTGTAACTTGCACCTGAGAAAGTCTTTCTCAATAGACAATATAATATCCATTTTCCTCTTTATTTACATAATCCACTTCTTTTTTTTCATTTTAAAATTAATCTCTGATGAAAATACTTTATTAAATCCTCTCATTGCAACTACAATAAAATGCCTTTAAGAGAGAAAAATGTGAAGGGGCAACAGGGAAGAAATAGGAAGTGCTGTAAAGGCTGGCGCATTCTTTCAACATTGTCATGTACAAAGTCACTAGAACGTGGAGTTACTGGGTTCTGCTAGATCTGAAATTGGGAGATGGCACCTCATCATAACTGCCTATGTTACATCAGCCAACACTGGGGACAAGAGGTTGTGCTGGCTCCCTCCTCGGCAATGGGGTTTGCTCACTTTGCTTGCTGTACACGGTCAATAAAGTATTTGGAAGAGCAGTGCTCTAGTTTGTGGCTTGCCTTCATGCCCTGTGTAATGGGCAAAACACCTTTAATCCTCCGGGCAGTCATAGGCAGTGCCCATGCTTCACCACAGCAATGCGACAGAGGGGTTCTCACAGCCAAGAGACAGATGTGGGGAAAGAAGCGACTGAGGAGTTTTGGGAATGCATTTCCTACAATATTTACCTAGCCCCCAGGTTATACTCCTGACAATTTTGCAAGCCAAAAATAGATGCAAGTAGGTGGGTACAGCCCCAGGAGGGTCTCACGTCCCCTCACCATGGCCCAGACAAGAACAGCCCCCGCCATGAGCCCAATAGACTCAGTATGGTGGGAAAAGACTTTCAAGATGGAGTGCAACCGTAAAGCCCTCAACACCATACCTGTTAAACTATGTCCCTAAGCGCCTCATCTACACATTTCTTGAACACTGCCAGGAATAGCGACTCCACCACTTCCCTGGGCAGCGTGTTCCAATGCTTGACTAATCTTCCCATGTAGAAATTTTTCCTAATATCTAACCTGAATCTCCGCTGGTGCAACTTGAGGCCATTTCCTCTTGTTCTAGTGGTAGTTATTTGGGAGAAACGATCAACCACCACCTCACTACAACCTCCTTTCAGGGAGTTGTACAGATCCTCAGGAAGTCCTCTGTGCCCCTCTCAATGCATCCTCCAGTGGAGTCCTACATACATTCGCCATGACCCAGGAGTGCACAGCCTCAGCAGGGACTCGTGTCCCTTTGCCAAGGCCCAAGCAAGTGTGTCCCTAGCAGGGTCCAGCGTGGCCCCCCCAGCTGCTGCCCCATCCCCAACCTTGCAGCAGGCCTTGTTGCCATGATAACTGGCAGCCCTGTCTGGCCTGCGGCCTGGAGCCAGCTTGGTGCTGCAGGGCCAGGCCCCTGGGCTCCCCAGGCCGAGTTCTTTGGCCTTTGCCTTGGGAGCTCTCTGCCAGCTGCTCAAGACCCTGCAGCATCTCTTGGGGTGGGCTACACTGCACTGTCTCCGTGCTATCAGCCGACTGGATTGTATCAAACCTAGTGCAACCACTGGAGGTTTTGCCACATGCTTTTTAAGTAACCATGAGCAAGCCAGATACTGTGGTGCCAGCTCGCAGAGACCTCTCAAAGCTGCTGTTCGGAGAATCAGATTGTGGGGCACCACAACAACATGGGTTCCTCCGCCCCAGCCTATGTGGCGACCAATATGCAGTCACCCAGCCAGGACTGCAACAAGGGGGTGACTACAGCTCATGGGGGGATGTACATAGGGCCAGACAAGACACTCTACAAGTTTGAGACTGAACTAGGAACCGCAGTGCCTGTTTCAAATCACCTTTTTTGTCCCAAGTTTCCTTAGAGAGTTGCTAAGTGATTTAGGATCCTTTCTGTCATGGAAAGTCATGCCAGCTGAATTCCTGAGGACACCTGTGGGTCTTGTCCTTACAGCCTCTCCTATGTGCTGGGTCTCCTGCGTACATAACGGCATTCAACAGGGTGCTGCTGAAGGTCATTTGATGGACATGAATGGGGATGCCCGTCTCATATTTGGGTGCTGAATGATCTGTGCTTGGCATGTGGTATACTATGGGTTCTACTCCTGCTTGGGGTGGTTTGAGGACCAACTCCTCAAACATGGGTTGCTCATCCCCATGTTTGAGGAGTTTGGTTCCTATTTGAAGGGCAGTCTCCCCCACCACAAAAATGACATTGCACCCTACCACAAGGGTGCAAAAAAAAAAAAAGTGTGTTTAGTACCATAGGGCTATACACCCAAAGAAAGGGAGAGGTTGAAGATGAGCAGACTGGCAGTTAACATCAGCTTTCTGCTTCAGTGCTGCTTGCAAGCATGACCACAACTGTGAACAAAACAAGCTGTGAAAGGAAGCAGTAGTAGAGGTTTCTCTGTTTTAAAAAACATGTAAAGCCTAGGTGAGGAAAATGATATTTGATGAGCTATCTCTGAGTTGTATCTGTGTGGAAGGGCAGAATGCCAAAACAAAAGATGTTAAACATCAGCGGTAAGCACTGCTTGAAGATGACTGTCAAGGATATAAGCTCAACTCAGACTTGCTAAGGTTTCAGCAGAGAGGTCCCAGCAGCAGTGTCAGGATCAGGGAGGGGGCTTAGATACTGGGATGTTCAAGAAGGGACTTTGGTCTCAGAGCTTCTCTGGAAGGTAGACAAACAGCTTTGCTTCTCCAAAGTTGAGGACAGAGTTACCTTGGGGTTATATTGCTGTTTGTCTGTCTCGTGTCCCTGAATTGGGAAGAAATCCGGTTATCAAAGTGAATGTAGCACAGGACTCCAAGAGGGAGCCAGTGCCCTCAGCAGCATGAGTGGTATCAGGGTATTAGTGAAAGCATCTTTGCCATCACAAGGGCTAAATGGCTGAAACTGCAACTGGCTGCAAAGAAGGTGCAGGTAGGGGAGCAGAAGCTGAAGCTCTAGTGTTGCAGTTTGCTGAGCAGGGAGGGAGAAAGCTCAGGGAGCTGAGCAAGCACAATGCAGGAGACGCAGAGAAAACATGAGAGGGAAGTAACAGCAGCCCTTTCTCATATCAAGTGTGAAAGTGTACCTGGGAATACTTGTCCAAGTAATGTTTTATCAATGGGACCAATCATTTCATTCACAGATGAGAGAATTTATTACTCTGTTCTGCTAGAACAAACAGAAAAAAGAATTGAACGTTATTTCTCCACACGTACTGTCTTGTCACTCTTTCAATCTTCTGAGAAACCACAAAGGCTAGTTTACCGCTCAGGGAGTGCAGATGCAGTATGTTATCTTTGATCAGAGACATAATTGATGGCCAGCTTGTGGGCAAATGACATTTACAAGTATACAGCTATTTTTTTAGTTAGGTTTTGAGGGTGCACGAATATTATATCAAAATGTTCTTAACTTCTGTAAAAGAGGCTTAAGAAACACGTTGTGAGTTTCTCTACTGCTCTGAGTCACATACATTGTAAGGGTCATAATGCAATTTCTTGTTGAAGGTCTTCTGAACATGGTGATATGCAGTGACTAAATCCTACTAGCTTTTTGACTCAGAACTCTATCAACAAAAAAAATTAGTTCAAGTTTTCAAAAACATCATTGACAAGAAGCCATGCATATATGTGTTTACATAGCAAAGAAGAAGAAACTACAATTCCTAAATCCTATCAAGGCTAAAGTTACAAATAGAGGCCTTCCTCAGATAGCCATATGTTCCTTTGTTGTAGAGGCTGT